TCTATGATTCTATCTTTTCCTTGTTAGTACTTTTTTCTTTTTTCTCTTTTTTAGGTTGCCTGCTGTATAAATGCAGAATGGGGTTCTTGTTCCCCACCAGGTGCCTACCTATCAGCAGCACAGAAATGAATATATAAAAAAAAAAAAACAAAAATGAAGGGGTGGTAGTAGGTAAAAAGAGACAAATCCTATGAATAATTACCATCTTCATGTTTCTCTACTTGTCCCTGCCATGCTCTTCTAGTTATCTGGCTAAAAACCTACCTTCTACTCCATCTTAATGGAGTAGGAGTTAAAGGATGTTGAATGAAGAGACTGAGACTTTCTCTGAAAAAGTATTGGTAAAAACAGAAGTTTACTTTGAAAATAAGTTCCAAGGACACAGTGAGGACACAGTCTGTCTATTTCGTCTGCCTAGAGGGCAAGTTGCAATGTTCAGAACTATCTTTCAGTGATCCCATTAAATATTTGAGACAAAAGGTGAAAATTATCATGCAGTAGAAGTGGTTACTGTGAATGAGTTGGTACCCTACCTCATGTTATTTCTTTGCTATGATTGTCATTTCAACCCACACTCACATTTGCCCCACCCTACCCTAATATGTCTTTTTAGCATTTGTTCCTCTAATCTGTAATTCTGCCTGTGCATAGATACACAGTATTCTATTCTGATGATACCCTTGAAAACCTTCCCTTTCCACACAGCAAAGTCTTCCTTTTTTTTAATCAAAGGTCAAGAATCAGAGCCACTAATTTCCTCCTGGCCTCCAGTCTATCAGGACACTACATACTCTGCTTTGCTCTCTAGAAAGCTGTGAGAGCTGCTTCCAATCTAATGAGCAAAAGCAGATTTTTTGAGAAATGACCAAACTAAGCAAACTACATACGGAAGAGCATGATGGCATCATCAGCAGAAAATCACAGTGGGGACAAAATACAATTTTTTACATTCTTCATGTAGAGTACTGAGGAGAGCAACTTCAGTTTCCACATCAGTCAGTGTACTATGAGCAAACAGCATCAGTTGAAACTGAGTTCTAAGTATGAAGGGAAAAAAATTGATAGTTATTCTCATGTGGGAAAAATAATTGGATCTTTTTGCTTTGTAAAAAAAAAAAAAGGAAAAAGACAACTTTTTGTGCTGGAAAAGGGAGCGGGAGAAAAAGAATACCAAAGGGAGAAGAGCAAGCAACAAAGCTATAGGATGATGTAAGTACAATGAAAAGAGAGGCGATGAGGGAGTAAAAGCATCTGTAACAGGGGGGTGGATAAAAGGAGAAGATATGAGGAACAGTACTACAAGGGAAGCAAGAAAGTATGTTAGTGGCCATTGATAGCATTTGGTTTTGTATTTCATGCTTATTACAAAAAGATTATATTTAATTACTTTGTACTGATTAAAGGCTTAGAAAGGTAAATATTTTGATAACAGTAGCTTTCATGCTAATGTAGCAACTGTTACTAGATAGGGATTTGTGGTCTTGCTCCTCTGAATGCTAAGTTCAGTTACAATTTGCTCAAGCAGGTTAAAGAAGTTTGCAACAACTCTATTTCCCCACAGAGTATTGAATCTGAGTTTATCATGCACTTATGAACGAAAGCCCAATTTAATGAGGAATTGGGTCTGCTGTGCTCATTAAAGAAAACAGCAAAGCTCTAATGACATTATGACCCAAGTTTGCTTTATTCCTAAAAATCTTGTCTTTAAAAAAAATCTGGTTTTTTTTTCCTACCTGGTTATTTTTTTGCCTTGTTCCTAAAGTACTTAGAAAGAAAATGAAATGACTTACACAACTCTTTTTTCTTCTCTTTTATCTCTAGCAATAACAAACTAGAGAAAAATCAGTATGATGCTTATAAGGTCTCACACAATGAAATAAAAGCCTTAGGAATTTTTTTTCTTCATTGAAGTACCAGGTTTTGTCATACTTCACAGTACATACAGTGTCATGAAAAAACACAATATAATTTATTTTCCTTTTTTTTCCAAGACTGAAAAAAAAATATTATATGAAAGTTCTCAGTTTGAATTGAAATTCAGGAATTAATAGGTTTTGTTATGGTAGTACCAAAGAAGAAACCAATCATTTAACCTTTATATATCCAGTTTTGAGACTGTCAGTTTGTATGTCACAGCTTGTACAGCAGACTAATTCCCATGGATCTGCCTGTGTAAGTTTTTAAAAAAACTCCCAAGCTCCTTGATTTCTCTAACAAATTGTATTCATTTTTTCTAAACTTATTTAAAGTGGGACTTGACAGAACTTAAAAACACATTAAAATGCTTTATTGATTTAGTGAGGTTTCACTTCCTATTAGTTTTGCAGCTGTCACCATTTTGTTTCTAACCCTCTTAGATTAAAGAAGGCACAGGAGTACCTGTTACTGAGATAATGTCCTGAGCAAGGTTTTATGTTTCAGGCTGATTAAAGCAGTTGTGTCACGATGCTACAGACTGGGTGTTCCCAAAACAACAATGCAGTTCGCCTACAACATTATTTATTTCTTTTTGTCATTGGAAAGACTGTTCTTTGTCTGGCAGGAGTAAGGCTGAAAGAGAGTTGCAGCACAGCTAGTACAGCTGACCAAGCTTTTTTCCTGGTTCTCAAAGGAAAATGAAAGGGTAAAAAGCAGACCAATTTGGATTGTGTCATGAAAATGGCCTCTCACATAACCTTTCACCAGCAAGGCTTGGCTTGAATAGACAAAGCAGCAGCCAGCATTCTGGGAGTTTCTTGGTATAGTCTGTGTTGGGGCAAGTCTTAAAATTTTCTCTTATGTCAGATAAACAGTGAATCATTCCTTGATTCATCTGAAACTTTGGTTTTAGTTATGAAAAACCCACTATAAATTGTACATGCCCAGTGGGTCAGGTCAAAAGATTGGTATCTTTGTATTGCTTTCTGAAAAATGCTTCAATCTGTTTTTTTCTTTTTCCTTTTTGAAGGTGCTCTGACAGCACCTTTTTGGTTCTAAAAGGTTGCCCTCATAGTTGATTTTGAATGAATCAGGGTGTCTGTGAGATAACAAACATTCAAGAGTTTAGTGGAAGCATCCCTTACATTATCACATTATTGCTGTAGTGTATACTCTTTTAGAAACTGTTAAGCCAGAATTATTCCCTGAATCTGCAATAGTTCACAGTGGAAAAAAACTTTTCCATATGCTGCTTTACCATATGGGCCATAACTCTATATGTGGCAAAATGGTTTTGAACTTTTTAACCTCAGAGAAAATTTTTTTGAAACTTCTGATGATGTGGCTAGGAATAGAGGGAAGGAATGCAAAGGAGGGGAGGAGGAGGATGAGGAAGTCACAGCTAGCCTCTCTGTAACATTTAGGATTTCGGTGTTCAGTAACTCTCCACTGTTGACATGCTTACTTGTACTAGACAGCAGTAACTAAAATGTCAATTGATTTTTACAGCAGTCTGATCCAGTACTCTGGCATTCAATGCAGGCCACATTCAGTAAAAACAAATATAAATAGTGTAAAGGCAAATCACATTAGTACTTGCATGACCATGATGAAACGGGAAATTCTGTTTGTCTTAAGGTACCAAACTCCAGCTTACTTGCTCTCCTCTGGGGCACTGAAGTCATGTATACAGGAATGGATCGGATTGTGGAATTGCTTCCTAACAGCCTTTGTGCAAGCTCGCTCCCAGCCTGCATGTGATGGTGAGCCAACAGGCAGAAATGGTCCCACTGAAGGGACCAGTGCTGCTCATGCTCACATCCCAGGGGTGAGCACACCAGCTGCAGCAAGGTAGGAGGTAGGCAGTGTAATTGCATTAGTGAAGTGCTTTTACAGAGCAGTTTTCTGTGCCTAGCACCATACGCAAGATTGCAGCTGTGTGACCCTGCACTCCAGGAGCCTCCTCACTCAGGCTTGGAGTCAAACAAAGGTGGCTTTGCCAGACTGATGGTTAATGGCAAGCCCATGGTCAGTATTGAGTTGCCCCATGCTTGTTGCTGTGTATGTATGTACTTTGTGGGTTTCTGTATAAATAACACTGGACATCTGAGCATCACCACTGCATCCACCAGCACAGACCAGTTCTGGTTAAAAAATCCAAACGGCCAATGCTGATTCGGATGCAACCTGCATAGTGCGAGTGCTTCACCCGACTCACCACAACAGGGCAGGCTACTGGGGTGGGAGAGGAGTATTTCTTCCTTCTTTACCTCCAACCCCCTCTGCCGTGAGGTATTTTGCCAGCCTCTGTTTAATATGCATACTTCTACCTTGGCTGTTCCCAAGGCTCAAGTTGGTGCACTAATTTCCTCAACAAAGGACTTGTCTAAACAACGTGGTTTGGCTGCTTTAACGGGTGTTGTTCAAGTGCTAAATTCCCCTAAGCCTCATACAAGCCTTAGTACAAACATCACTACTGGGGGAGCAGTATTTGCTTTAAAGCATCTCTCTAGGGCTGTGTACCATCATCCACAGTAGCATGAAATAAAAGAGTGGTAGGTTAAGCTGGCAATGGATTCGGGCTGTGTAACAAACTTGTCTGTGATGGTTTTATAGAAACTTAAATACTTGTGAGGGAAAAAGTTGATGGCAGGACAGTTGACGTCCAAACATACGTCAGGCTACTTAATTATTTCCTGATATGTTTCTTGTCCTAGTGGTCTGAAAGTGCCCAGCATGTTTGGTGATGTCTTGCTGGTGTAGAGTGACTTGGTCCTTTTCCTGGCCCATGTCCTTCCCTGCAGACTGCAGTATTGTAGACATGACTCCTATGCAGGGTGGTTGTTATAAACTATATTTACTGGCTAAGATATTAAAAGACTCATCTCCACCAGAGCACATCTACTAGAGTAATAACGCTGACAGAGCCCCTAAGCACTATAGCAACCATTCCTTCAGCCTTTGCATCTGAGAAAGCTGTGGCAAAGCAAGGCATCCGTAACTATGTCCACAGCAAGGGTTCTGCAAACACAGGTGTCTTGGTCATGCACTGCTGTATTCCTTCATGCCCCTTTCTAAGCCTGTGCTCTTCGGAGTAGCTTGAGGTGCTCCCCCTCCAGCTGCAGGGTGCATATTACCCTCTGCTATGCTGGCAAAGTTGGGTTTTTTTATACTGAAGTCTACACTATATTAGCTGGATCAATATCACCGGGGCTGGTGAGCTGGCCTCTTTCACTTTTCCTCTGGCTTCACTTGCAGAACAAAAGGGGTTTGCTTCCCTTTCTCCTGAATAGAATGTCCCCCATGCCCCCCCCACCTGTGTGTTACTGATCTTGACCACAGACTCTAAAACTTTCTGGTGCTGTATTCCCTCCCTCTCTTATTCATTATTTGCTTCGGATCACCGCCCTCCTTACAACTGTCCACAGACTCATCTCCTTGGAAACGGCAGAAGTTGTTTATGTGGAAGTCATAGGGACACTAAAGCAGCTGCAGGTGTGTAAGGGAGCCATGTTACACTGGAGGGCATAGGAAAGGTGAGTCTCCACTTACTCTGACTGACAAAAGGTTAGATGGCTGAGGAAAACCCACTTTCTTCCTCAGGAGTTTCCCAAGTTGCCTTCCTCTGTTCACAGAAGCGGTGCAGAGCTCATTGCATGCACATGTGTGCATTTATATGGACCCTTTTTTGATCATGTTTCATCACCAACATGTAGGGGTTGAGAAACAGTGGAAATTTGGTGAGTTTGCTATTTATTATTTTGTGGAACACCATGTTGGTGCACCATACCATGCCAGGCCCATCTCCTCTCCTGTCTTGACCCTGTAACCCCCTCTGTGGCCACAGGACTTTCCCATCCATACCTTGTGATTTCTGCTGCTCCCTGCTTTGTGTGCTTCACCGCCAGTGCTGCCTGTGCTGTTGGAAATGGCCGGTACACCTGCCCGGCCTAGCTGTTGGCTGTCCCTGTGCGGTGTTTCCCAGTCCTCCAGGACAGAGCTGTGCAGGCCTGTGAACAGCCTGTGTGGCCACAGATGTGGCAGGGTCACCAGCTGAGACTTCTTTCCAGTGATGCTGGCATGCCTGGCTGCCTGCAGTCGCAGGCAAGCGGCCTGGGCTCGGGCAGGAAGACAGCAGGGCCCCATGGGGAGAAGGTCTGTTGTGCTAGGATAGCCTGGGCAGCTCCCCTTTTGTGGGTCTGGGTGGGCCGTGCTGGTGCCCGGGGGCCATCCTGATCTGTGGATGTTAGTCCCTGCCCTGGGAGTGTTAGTCCCTGAGTAAAGAAAACCCTGGCGAAGAGATGCCCAGGTCAACATCTCTGTGATGACAGCTTGGAGGAGCAAGGAAGGATTTCTGTGTAGCTTTGGTTGTGTGGATGGTGGTGTGGACAGGTGATATTTGTTCTCCCTTACACAGCCTCTGAAACAGTGCTGGGAGAGCTGTTCCTTGAAGCTTTTTTTCCCTGCCCACCCAATATGAATGGCTTTTCCTGGGGTGCGCTTCATCAGCAGGTTCCAGTCTTGCTGTGGGTTTCTTCCTCCTGTTACTAGATACCTCCTTTGGGTGACTTTCTTGAGAGCTAGTGTCTGTAAATAGCCTTGCCCACATGGGAAACCTGTTCCAGTTGCATGCCTAGTATTTTAAGCTTGAGGGATACCATAGTTACATCATTGAACATTCAAATAAATTGGTTTTCTGTAAGCTGAAGCTGTATATAACTCTTAATTTCTTACACTGTATCAAGTGAAATGCTTGGTACTACTTTACTAGGTACCTGCTGTGTGATTTAAAACATACTTTAACTTCCTAGAGGTTGTACTAAACTAAAGCACTTTCTGCACTTTTCACTGTCCATGTCTTGAGTGTCAAAGAGATCACTATGTGACAGGGTGTAATCTATCTTCAAATGTGATTCTGACAAAATAAAGATTGTGAAAAGAGAATGGAAAACTAGGACTTAATAACAGGGAGAATGTTGGGGATATTGCATGTTAAATATCATTTTGTGATCTCAGCACTAAATGTGGAGAACTGTATCTTTATTATGTATTGTATGTAAAAAGGCAGTAGAGCAGTAAGAAGGCTGCAAAAGAAAACAGGCTGTAAAATGTGGAATGCTTGCTCTGCAGGGACTACTGAATGGGAGATAGATACTGAAGTTTATAAAATAGATAATATAAAATGTTAATCCTTGGCTTTTAAAAGGACAAAGATCAGTAGAAATTACTAGAAAGCACCAAGAAACATCTTGGAAAATTTTGGGTGGTTGAGGGGAAATATGTTTAATGTTATGAAAGGCATCATTTTGGAATTGCATAAAAATGCAGGATTCATCTGAGCATCTGTGCTGTGGTGGTTTTTTTTTTTGGGGGGGGGTTAAGTATTGTTTGATTGCACATGATCTGGTTTAATATGAACAGGGCCAGGGACAGCACAGTGACATATTTTAAAAACTGCTACATAGTCTGTTAAAGATCTAATAGCCTTAAATAGCTCTGTTTTACAGGCTGTGGGTTCCAAATCAAAGAACAGTTTCGTAGGAAGCTTTCTTCAGCCACCAGATAGGATGCTTCCTGCAGGCTTTGCTTGTATAGAATCAAAAAAGTTGGCAGCTGTTGGTGGTGACAGGCCTTCTATCTCCAATAACCAAGGTAAAGCCAAAACATGTCCTTAAAGTGTTCTTTTTAATTGTTCCATGTGAAATCTCTTGAGAAAACTCCCTGTTCTGTTTTACTTAGTTCAATGACTTACTGCAATTATCAGACTGACATTGAGACAGGATGTATATGTGTCCTGCGGGAGTAGTCTCCCTGAAGTCATATGTCTGGAATGGAAACTACTGCAAGTCTTCTAACATCCTCATAAACTTTGGCTTTGAAAATTGTTTAACTTAGAGTTGTCAGACTTCCTCTAAAAGCAAAGGAAAATGCTTCAAACTCAGCAGAAGCAGTTAATGACTTCAAATACAGAAAAAGAAAAGATAATTCATATGGTAGTACACCGACTTGAAATTGGCTTTGTGTAGTGCTATTTGACTCCCTCTAGCTTAAAATAACTTCTAAGGTTATTTGTGTGGTATGATGCCTTGGGAGAACTTTTGAATGACACAGACTCCCAGGAAAGCTGGGTCCCAGGAAATATGGGTCTATTATGGTTGTCATGTGCCTTAATGGGTGATTACTCTCTGGAGCTTACCAGAAAATGCTTGGTGGTTTAGTATATCTGGAGAGCTCCATGAATCAGAAGGATACCATGGTTAGATTTGCTATCATGGACAATTTTACAGTATTGCGCAGCCTATGTGTGTGCATGTGTTCATTGTTCTTCACTTGAAGAATATGTGACTTACATAGTAATTTTTTGTCATACAGAGCTTGGGCTTTTTGGATTAAAATGGTCAATTTAATGCTATGCAGCTAAGTGCTTAAGTAAGGAAAAGTTTGGCATGTCAGTAGAAAGATGGAAAAAGATCTTTTTGCTCTCTGGTTTCTGCTTTCTTTTTAAAAAAAATATTTATAATGGGGCTATGATAAGATGATGAGAATTGTTATGGAGCTAGCAATATTTGCTGGGTATTCCTTTACTGAGAAAATTGCTACTGGGAAACTATTAAGAATTATGCATCAGAAAAAAAGCTTGAGTCAGTACAGTATATGTCTTGAACTTACAATGGTGTGTGTACCTTTTGGAGAGCTAGTAGACTTTTCCTGTAGCTGAAATCGGTTTAAAGAGTCATCAAATACAAGAAACTAGGCATTGAATCATTAGCTTTTGAAACAATAAGCTTTTTAAATGCATCATCTAATAAAATGCCCCTTTGTATCTGATTTCCCCCCTGACCCAAGTCTATTTTAGTTTTTTCAGTCTGTCCCCACCAGTTGCATTACACCAAAACTTGTGACCTAACTTGGATACCTGTGTTCTCTGTGTCTGTGTAAACAGAAATCCCAGGGTTCGTTACACTCAATTTCCCACAATATTTTTTGTGCTGCTGTCATTTGGAGTGAAAATAGTTTTGTTCATAGGACCTGTGCTTTACACCTCAGTTATGTAGTAAACATATCCATTTTCTCCCAGAAAAGTTCTATATGTGTTAGTGTACTGCTTGGGAATATAATTCATTTTATGAGTGATCCTGGGAAGATCACTTGTAAAATGAAGTACTGTTTGCTAGCTGTAGTGGCAGCCATGAAAACTCTTCAGGAAAAGATGCACCGTCTACAGCTGGAGAAGTCAAAAGCTGAAGATAATCTGCGCAGCCTCTCCATAGCAGCTGCTCAGTATAAGAAGGCAGTAGAGCGTGAATCCTACAAAAAGGACACAGTACATGAAGAACTGATGCAACAGAGGAAAGGTATTTCTCTTGAGTGATAAGGTGTAGCTACAGCAACTCCAAGACTGCATAATCCAGGGAGTGTTTGTTTTGACACACTTCTAAGTAATGCACTCCCCCTTTCTTTTTTTTTCTTCAGAACTGGGGAGGGGCAGGAACTTGATATCTCAATAAAGCTGAAATATTTTTTTTACATATATTAACGAAGTACTGCATAACCCATAAAACTATTTTAAACCATAAGTAGAGTTCAGGTGGCATGTTTAACTCCTACAATAAGCAGGCAGCTGCTTATGTGTATTACACTGTTAACTTCAGAAAAGTGAGGAGAGCAGAAGAAACCAGATTCTGGTTAGATATCTGCTGATATAAATCAAAGTAACTGCAGTGCTCACACCTTTGGAATCCAAATTAGAAACTAGCTCTGGAAAAACATTTTGATTCTCATATTTTATATCTATAATGTGTTTTAACCACATGACTTGTTCAGACTAACAAAACTTTTCTTGCATATTTTGAAGACAGAGAATTCCCCAATGAGATGGCAGACTGGCTAACTGTGTAACTCCCATTGCTGTACTGAATGTCTTTTGTTTCTCCTGGTAGGTATAAATGTGCAGTTAAATGCAGCACAATCCCGCTGCTCCCTGCTGGAGAAACAGCTGGATTACATGAAGGAAATGGTCTCCAGTGCAGAACTGGAAAATAAAACGGTTTTAGAACAACAGGTGAAGCCCTTGCTAACAAAGTAGTAATATAGTTAAAAAGTGTAGAAATGTGTAAGATCTGAACTTCTTCGTAGACATATTTTTTCCTCAGCTCTGATCAGCATGCTACCAAACAGAAGCAGTTTACTGTCTGACTGGTTGATGACAACCATTCAGTGAATTGTACGAAAAGACTCCCTAGGTGGAACTCTTAATGAGCAAAACCATGCTAATACTTGCACATTTGGTAGACAAAAAGGCTGCTGGAAACTTGAGTCTTCTTTGTCTGCCTGGTGTTTTTCATCACTTAGCAATTTAAGAAAAATGAAATTTAAACTAGTTAAAACACCTTAGGGTAGTGTGTTTGGGTTTTTGCTGCCTGAAACAATCTGAGTCAGCTGCCATCTCCATTATTGCTTACTTTTTTCTAGGCCCAGCTTCAGAAAGAGGAAGATCAGAACTGGTTGAAACTGCATGCAAAACTTGAAAAGCTTGAAATGCTAGAAAAAGAGTGCCTTAAACTTACTGCTACTCAGAGAATTGCAGAAGTAAGCATGCATGGAATGACAGTCTGAAAGTAATTAATTTGATATAATTTGTATGTCATACTTTTAATAGAACTAAGTTTTGCAAGAGTTTCCTCTGTTAAAGCTAAAGATCATAAAGCATACCTGACTGAATGCCATGTTGGCTTCATTTGCATGAGTATTTTTTCAGTCTGGGTTTTAAAAATTCCTACAGTCCTGTTTTATCCCAGATCACAATTGCAGCCTACTTCAGACTTCTGATTCAGCATGGCAAACTGAAGTGTGACTAATCATTCTTGCCTTCAAATGCAGGACAAGATCAAACGCCTAGAAGAAAAACTTTGTGAAGAGGAGCATCAGCGTAAGCTAGTACAAGACAAAACAGCTCAGGTAGACTGAAAAGGTTTTATTTTATCGTATTTTTTATGACTGAAGAATTCTATTGTCTGCCTAAAATACCCTTTTTAATGACATTAAACTGCACATGTTTATTACCCAGGCAGAACTCCTGGAATACTACCTAAGCTACTTATAAACTACATAGTATAAAGCTTACTAGGTGAATTGCATATCCCAGTCAAGGAGGATTATACTTGGTTTTGTATTAATAATACAGTTCATCAGCCTAAAAGCTTCTATAAGTGATCTGGGTAGAAAATTAATTTCTAGAGAATCTGCAACTAAATCATGTAACCTTAACTTATAGTAATGAGAAAGTGGTCATGTAAGAAACCTTATAACCCAAGCAAGGTTGGTTATTCTGTTTGTTTTTCTCTTCCTGCTCAGATCTGCTGAAATATAATATATTGGACTGTACATGGAGAAGTCTTTAATCAGTGATTCTGTTACATTGTTCATTAAGTGAGAGCTTGAATAATTCATTATTCTGTGAGGCTGTAACCAGTTTGTTGGATCACCATCTGAGAGAGGAATATTTACCAAAGAAAGCAAAATCAAATAAACCTTTTGTTAAAGGGACAAAGTAGTAGTATCCCAAAACTCACTTCACTGAGAATTACCAGCTATTTTAAAAAGAGAGCAATTTGTGGTGGCATTCTCGGAGCTAGAGGGTGATGGTTCAAAGCTGAAGAATTATATTGGAAGACCATAGCCATAAGCAGAGCTGACAGGTTAAATTAATTCTTCACTGTTGTCAGTTTTTATACCTCATCCAAGGATGACGGGCTTTCATCAGTCCAGGAAGCTTGAAATAAATTGCAGATTGTAGCCCAGGTATCTGACCACCTCCAGAATTCAGAATAATGACACAGTTGAAAACTTGCAGATTTTGGGCTTCTTGCTTCGGCTGCTTGCTGATGCAGAGCAGAAGGCCTAGCATGGGGATTTTATCTTCTGAGAAATATAGTAAGAATGACTTTCACAGATCAGATAGTCTGACTTGAACAGCAGTATAAACATTTGCTCAAGAAAGGATTTTGATGTAGTAAACCAAGTCCTAAACTAGTATTAGTACCATCTTAGTTCACTGTAGGATGGATTTAGGTCTGTTGGATCTGGGTTGGGAAACTGTGTGTGGGATGGTTCATTACCTTTTGATGACAGAAAAGCAAGAATTACCTCATTTTTGTGATGGACCTCCAGCATTGTTTAGCTGGAACTGTTACACATGCCAAAACAAAGTCCTAGTCCTATGTTTGAGTGGGAATAGCTATTATCCTGTTTATCATGGGACTTTATGTCAGCTAAACTAGAGAGCAATCTTAGGATTGTCCAGCAGGTTTGACATCAGTGTCACGCAGATGCGCTCAGTTCTCTCTGCCCCTAGATTGTAAGATCCAAACGTTCATATTATTTGGATTTTATGATCAGATCCCCAGCATGGGGCGTGATTGGCTTATCTCAGTTGCTGGTTTTCACAGTGGAAAAATACAGCTGCTGCAGCTGAATTTAAAATTGAGGACTTCTAAGATAGAAGATCTGCCTGATACCCTGCCATCCTAGTAATCTGTTCAGTTTTTAAGTGTATTTTGTGTCTTCTTATCAGGGCAGGTAATAGTGCCCTTAATTGGTTCTTACCATCTCATACGTGAGAACCTTAATTGGTTCTCATTCGTGAAAGAGGGAATTAATTAAACCATGTGGTTTCATATTTCTAATATTTTTCCTTTGTTGCTTATTCCCACAGCTCCAAACAGGATTTGAGATAAACAGAATTTTGTTGTCTTCAGTGACATCTCAAAATGAACCTAAAAAGAAAAACATGAAGAAGAAAAAAACTAAGAAGGTGACATGAAGGTTTTTATTACCATACTGTTGCTGATAGTATCTGACTCATACAGATACTGGAATTTGTGAAAAATGTTGATGTAAGAGGTACTTGGTGTGTTTGCTGCACTTTACTCCATTTCCAAAGGAAAACAGTGCTGAATACCTCTTTGGTTTGGTTTGGTTGTTTTTTCCCTTTGATAATTAAGATGGTCCTAGGGCTGGTAGGTAGCACCTCACTGGAAACTTTGCCTTACCAGCATGATAGTAACCTCTGTTACACTCTCAAATGCCACCCCCATGTCCTGTCTTTGCTACCTTTCAGTTTATCTGGCAAGATTAGTTTCCAAAGCAGTTTTAACTAGGCATCTTAAGATGGTGTGTTGAGGGGATTGCTGAAATCAAGAGCATTCATTTTGTAACACAAGTCAGTCAAAATTTTGCAACCGTGATTTTGCAAAATTAAGTAAGCAAAGTTCAATTTCTTTTATGTCAACCTAATTGTCAAAATATCTGCTAAATGCATCTGGAGTAAAGTTTTCTTGTCTTGGCTGTTGAAAAGTACTACTCTTTCCACTTACAGGTGGGAAATTATTCTTTAAACCAGAGGGAAACAAAGGTGATACATTTCACTGCTTGTTTACTTGAATTTTACTTATTAGGGGAAAGAAAAAAAGAAAAAAAATTCAAGCTGTTTGGTCAGCAGATTGGAATTTCTTGTATTACTTTTTCTATCTTATGGCAGAGAAATCCTACAGTGAAGAAAATGCACCTTTCACAATTACATGTAAGGGCTGGTGAACTACCTTTTGTAGCTGGGAAGGTGAGTGAAACCAAATCTCGCTAAATTAGCACCTACAGTTTGAATAAGTCTCTTTACTGTACTTGTTAATCACTTATGCAAACCACTTAATAATTCTGCTTTAAGTCTGTCAGCTCCAGCCATTCTGTTAGTGCAAACGTTCAAAGTGTGTTGCACATTATGAAGCATCACAATCCATGTATCTCATCACGAAGCCAAGAAGGAGCTACATCTGGGATTTCAGGACACACAGCCCTTTCAGAATCTGTATCCTCTTGTTCCACATCACCTATTGCCACCAGAAGCCTTTCTGACCTTCTGTTGGCCATGCAAGATGAGCTGGGCCAAATGAGCTTGTGAGTACTCACCCCTAATGTTATGAGTAAAAGTGACTTCAGTGGTAGCTCTGTGAAGCTACAGGTGTGTGTCGTGGTTTAAGCCCAGCCATAAATCAGATTACGCAGTCTCATTCCCCCCCTTCCCCCCACCCCCACTGCCAGAGGCTATGGAGAGGAGAATCGAAAGAATGTAACTCCCATGGGTTGAGATAAGAGCAGTCCAGCAACTAAGGTATAACACAAATCACTGCTGCTACCACCAATAATAATAATGATAAGGGAAATAACAAGGGAAGAGAATACAATACCACCTGCTGACCAATACCCAGCCTAACCCCGGCAGTGATCTAGCCCTTCTGGGTAACTGCCCCCAGTTCTACATCCCGGGCATGATGTGCTGTGGCATGGAATACCTCTGTGGCTAGTTTGGATCAGGTGTCCTGTCTCTGCTTCCTCCCAGCTTCCCCTCCTCCCTGGCAGAGCATAAGACTCACAAAGTCCTTGGTCAGACTAAACATTACTTAGCAGCAACTAAAAACATCGGTGTTATCAGCACTGTTCCCAGGCTGAAAGTCAAAAACACAGCACTGCACCAGCTACTGAGAAGGAGAAAAATGACTGCTACTGCTGAACCCAGGACAGTGTGCTATAATTGAATCTGGCCTGTTTTAAGTATAGGACTACTTGTTGCCAGAGTGGCCTGAGCAGCCCTGACTGGTAGGATTTTTCTCATTCAAAAAATTATTTCTTTCCTGGTATTTAACTGATCCTATGAGCAAGCAACACACTCTTCAGCTGGGTTTTTCTGCTTCCACATCCTGTACTTAACCAAGCCACTACTGATGTAACAGCTGCAGCAAATGAAAGTCTTCCAAGCTTGTGCTTTTCAGAAATTTTGAACATATTCTGAGACCTACGGAGTAGACCAAGAATGTTTTCCTGGAGAAGGTTGCAAAAGTGATGTTAATGTTGAGTAGTACTGCAGCATGCAGTCAGTCTGGGTGGTAGAATAGGTTAGTTCAGCTGTGGCAAGATGACGCCTGTTACACAATGTGTAGGCTACTCCTTTGTACTCACTCTTCCTGTATTCTCTCCATATGTGGGTACCTCATGGGATTTTGTTGATGAGACAGTCAGGCATTCATACTCTTTCCTTCTTGATAGCAGAAGAACTTGCCAGTCCTGTAAGGGGGTTGTGGAAGAGGAACACTCTCCTGCCAGAAAATGGGCAGGGTGTGGAAGAAGCTTACTCATTAGACGGGAGTGTGTCTTTTTAGCCATACAAGTAAATGTGGATTACAACAGCATCTTCTGTTTTTAAGCATTTTCTTAGGCATCTTCCTGTTAATGCAGGCTTGTAGGCCAAAGCTATATAGCTGGTCGAAGGAGACATGGCAACATTATGAGCTGTGGTTTGAACAGAGGAGGATGTGTTGGTTAAACCAGTTAGGGTGTCCCCACTGATTTGAAATCCTTGATGTGGCAAAATTTAAACTGGCAACCGATCTTTTCTTCAAAAAGCAATGTTCGGCTTACTCATGGTAACACAAGGACAGGCATTATGGTTTTTTATAGGAACAACCAGTTGCTTCAGTTAACCTGTCAAGGAGCAGCACTTACTCAGAAAGCAGAAAAGAAGCTGTGACCTTTGTAAAAAGATTATCTAAAAGAGTATGTCTGGTTTTTACTACTTCAGATATCTAGGTATCATGCATATAATTGTGTATACACAATTTCTTGTAATTAAGCTGGTTAATTAAGCTGATTAAATTAATTAACCAGCACACCTGACTGCAAATCTTTTTGAGAATAATATTTTAATTTGAATAATCTGTCAGGAAAAACTATAATTTAAATGTACTAGTTTAAACAATACTTTTATGTATTAAATTAAGCTTCCAAATTCTGGACTAAATTGAACAGGAAGTGAAAATACCATACTGCATAGCTGTTGTTCACTTTCCAGATTCTCATTTTGCATACTGTTTCACATGTAGCTGTTTTATCTTGGCAAAAGGGAGGAATAAGATGCACGTCAGCTACAAATGTGGAATAAGCAAATTAGTGTAAAAACTTTTCCTTTTCTGGTGTGAATATATTCCACATTAATGTGTATTGTATGAGAGGGTAAATCATGCTAAATTGGTGTACTTTGGAGAAAATGGCTAGCAACTCCTGGAATACACTGAAAATACTGGAAGAAGTCTCAGAGACTGTACCATGAATACTTTGTGTGCTATTCTTGTCTTTAATAGTGAGCATCAAGAACTTCTGAAGCAGATACAGGAGACTCAAGACTCCAAAGTTCGTGAACACCTAGAACAGGAGCTGGATTGCCTTGTAAAACAAATGGAGATTAAAGGAAAACAAATATCCAAGCTGAAAAAGCATGAGGCTACTGTAAGAATAAAATATAAACTCTGGGTAGTAATACACTAGTAATACAGTAGTGCTACAATTTTGCCTCCTGTTGTCATTAACTAGAGTGTCACTGAAATGCTTAAGCCAGGGTGTTCAGTATGTGTGTTTATAATTAGGCAGCTAGCTCAGTGTTCTTGTACCTCCAGTTCCTTCTTTTAATCAAGAAAAAATGCTTACAGCTGGCAGCTAGGAATGTATGCCAGAGGGAAAGATTTCTGCCCTGTGGCAGTTCTGCAAAACAGAGCTGGGTTGCTCAGTCTGTCAGTTCTGCTCACTGCATTATGACAAAATGTTGAGATTTCATTCCTTTGTCTCCTGTCACTTTGGGGAATGAGAAAATAGAAGCTATAGGTCCCATACAAACTGTATTAAATGTCTTCTATATTACTGAAATATTGAAGCTTTTTATTAACCAAATAGTCTGTTGACCACAGCTTCTCCAAAATCATAGCCAGGCAAGTCTTTTGGTTTTATTTAACTCCTAATCTGTATGCATTCTATCAGTATGTGTTTTAGAGCCATAGAGACATAAAGCCATAGAGCTTTTCATACATGTCCGTATAAAATCACACTTCTGTAGATGAACAGCTCAAAACCTTTTGTGGCAATTTGGTGTGGAACATATGACAAAAATGCAATCCCTAGTTCTGGTTGACAGTTTTCTGTTCTTCCATCTTATGTTTCCAGATAAACAGACTCACCTAAGAACTTTGCTTATACAGGAAACAAAACAAAACTCAGAGTGAGACCTTACAAACGGGAGAGGTGATGGTTAATTTAAATCTGACCAGTTTTATTCACATTCATTCTGTGATAGATTTTACTTAGTCAAATCTTTTACTGTCCACATAACTGCAAGCACAGATATGTTAAAGTAGAATTAACAGAGCTGCATGTTAGCAATATGGACCAAGAACACTGACTCTTGCATCTTCACTACATCTCTTGGCAATGTCAACTGTTTTTTTGACAAATCTTTGGTATTCTTGAAGAGCCAAAAATTATGGTGTTATTCCTTGCCTCAGAATCTTTCTGACTTCATCCTCCAGGAACCTCAGACAATGGACAAACAACTGCACCTTTGTTTATTCCTTTTGTATATCTTTATGGCTACAGCCTGCCTTCCTTTTCAAATGATGAGAAGAGGAATAGGACATGAAATGTGGTGCAGCCTTGTTGTCATCCTTGCCTATTATCAGCCTGCAGATCTGCTGGCAAGTTATCTGTGCTCTTGTCAGACTATACACCTTAGGGTCATGATGTGAATAGCACATTCTTTGTCTTTGTCTGATTATTGTTCATCATGCCCTGGTTATCGATTCATATTTCAGCTTTTAGAACCTGTCACACTAAAAATGCCATAGTTATCTCTGTGTTCCACAGTTAATAATATGTTCTGGAATGCAATACAAATTAATTATTTTTAGAAATTGACTTAAAGCATAAATTGGCATGTGGAATGCTTCCAGCCTAATTTTATCCTTGGGAGTGACCTTTTTATGCCAAGTGCAAGTCAAGACTTATTATTTGTCATTAAAAAACATTCTTCATCAATCAACTCTATTTATTTTGTTTTCCAGTTTTGTTATGAGGCTTTGAAGTAGGCTGCTTAGATACAGTAACCAGGAATAAAGTGTACATTTTATAGGTTGGCTGGGGAAGAGGTTGGTTAGGGTTGTACAATCTGAAATGGAAAAAGACCATTGTAAACATAAATTGTTGACTGATGAAGTTCCATCTCTCTCAAGCAAGCATTTTTACCTTAAGGAGTTCAACAACCTATTAAGTGTGGGTGAGGTCAGTTTTCTGTAGTGCTTTCTGTTACAATGAGACAACTGTGTGCAAGATTAGTAGGTTTCAATTTTCTTTTTTTTTTTTTTAAATGTTCTTTAGACATCTTTAGTTTGAAGTTTAGAAGTTCAGTAAATTCTACAGCTGTAGGTCTTCTGAGTATGTAATATTCTGATCAGTAATCTTTTCTCCTAGGTGCAGAAATTAAAGAGAAAAACTCAGAAATTGAAGCAAGGGGCAGCTCAGGTCAAACTGAAGTGTGATGACCAAAAGGAAGCAAAAGAGATTGCAGTCACTGTAAGGAAAAGTATGTGTACATCTTCTCCTGGGCAGAAAAGCAGAAGCTCTCTTCAGCTGCTAAAAAATGTACAGAAACTTCAGTCAACACTGAAAAAAGATGGTATCACGTGGTAACAACAGTTCTCAAGTTTACAGTGTTTTTTTAATTTCACAAAATACCTTTAAAAAAAATAGATATAGCATAGATACAGATGCACATTCCAAACTGCCTACTCACTAACAGGCCAGTTTGTTCACCTCAGAATCAACTTTCATGCAGAGTAGCTATAACTCAACTACACTGACTTGTAATAAAGTGTTTTAATGGATTAATGAAATGCTTACTTGTTAACTTGTATAATAAAATTTTATACTTTTTTTACACTTAGAATAGTATGCCATCTTTGGTGTCTCATTCCCCATGCTGCCAAGGGGATACTCAGAGCTTACTTTTTGAGAATGACTTGGGCTACTGATTCTATTCAAATAAAAACAGTAGTTTTCCTTTTCCCTAAAAACTGAAGGTTCAGATCATTGCAACTGAGGCAGAAGAAGAGGTATTGTCTCTTATTTATCTATATTTTCATTATAATTAATGTTATTACTCTATAAGTGTTATTGACAGTTTTAGGGACAGGTAGGGACTATCATTCCATGACTTGGTTGAATCATGAAAACATGACAGTGTTCGTGATAAGTGCATGGAAGGGGCCACTACCAAAAGCTTGGGTGCTTGTCTTCGGAACCTGGTTCTATCACAATATGAAATAATTGAGCTGTCACAAAGGAGACCTTGAACTGCTACCAGTACATGTTGTGGAATCTGTGTACTCAATACAAATGCCAGATGGATTTTTATGCTAATGATGAGTCTGCTCGTTTCCATCCCCCTCTATGTATGTATGGTAAAAGGCATAACAGTGACTTCAAATCAACACTGGTTATTTAATTGCAGTAAAGTTTTGTCTTGAGGCTACTGACTGACACTGATTTTCCTGGGTGTTTGTGTATGTGAGAAAAAAATAGCTTCTTGGGGATATACCAGTGAAGTTCTGCTGCAAGATTGAGAGAATGTGGTAGTAAGAATAAAAACTGGAGTCATGCTCTGTTACCAAGGTTTTGAATAAAGGCTAGTAATGATTTATGGTCCTCATGGACAATTGGAGCTTTGGATTGGTAAGTTTTGCTCTTCCACCTTTCAAGACAGAGGATTAAAAAAAGAATAAAATCAGAAAATAAATTCAAATTTAGAATAGACTGTTACAGTCTTTGAAGGAGTTGGTTTTGTGAGCATTTAGGGATGATGGGTAGAGTTCATATGCCCTAAACATCTTCAGCAGAACTGTGGAAGACGCGGTTGTTCAGCTGATATTTAGGGATGTGTTTCCTTCACTTTATGAAATTGTATAGATATCCTTCTTACTTATGGATTATCTCTGGCTGAGAAGAGCATATTTTATGCTTAAAAACACTTAAACACCGTTCTATGAATGGTATTTTCCTGGTATAGATAGCATTTCTAAGATAGGTTTACCCATTTCTGGACACTGGAATCACCGAAACCAGGGACAAAAGAAAAGTAAGCGGTTTTGCTATTAACATATTCGGATTGTAGGTATTCTGCTGCCATGAGATAAGCCTTTGCAATTCCAAGGGGTGGTTAAATAATCTTTGAACCCCTGTGCCTGTGTGAGAGAGTGAGCAAGAAGGGCCTTACCGAGCCCTAAGGAGCATAAAACATATATAATCCAGAGGTCCATCCTTCATCAGGCATTGGACTGAGAGAGAAAAATTGCCAGCAATTTGCCCCAAATGCATAAAACCAGGTGGAATGACGTTGTGTGGGGCAGTGGCAGGAGTGAGAGCAAGAAGCACACCTGGCTTGCAGCTATGCAGCTTCTGCAGGTTGGGGTTGCTATAGGGACAGCTGGGCCTGCCCCGTCAGGGAGCTGGCACATCAATCACCCGCTCCTTCTATGCCTTGACCTGTTTGGGGTTTTTTTTTGTTGACTATAGAAACTCGGGGAGAAGAGGCCATTTTGGAGCTAGAGCTGGAGAAGGAAGGCCCTGGTTTCCCTCCTGGACAAGGGGCTGTGGTGAAAGGCAAACAGCTTTGGGTTGGTCAACCAGTTACCGGATGGGGTAGTGCTTAAATGGTGGAAGCATTGAGTATCACAGTATCACAGTATCACAGTATGTTAGAGATTGGAAGGGACCTCAAAAGATCATCTAGTCCAATCCCCCTGCCGGAGCAGGAACACCTAGATAAGGTTACACAGGAATGTGTCCAGGCAGGTTTTGAATGTCTCCAGAGAAGGAGACTCCACAACCTCCCTGGGCAGCCTGTTCCAGTGTTCCGTCACCCTCACTGAGAAGAAGTTTCTTCTCAAGTTTAAGTGGAACCTCTTGTGTTAAGTGGAACCTCTTGAGTAGTCCACTCTTCAAAATGTGCATGCTAACAGGGACTGTCCAGTCCCAGAATAAAACTGCTCTGTTTGCCTTTCTGTGGGGCAAGTTGCTGGAGGGAAAGGAAAGAGCTGAATCTGGTCCTGTCTGCAGGTGGGCATTTCGCATCTTTGCCTGCTTTGGAGTGGGATGGGGAGCTGAAAAAGCTGGTTTGCTCAGAGCCAAGAGCTGTGATTTGAGAGGGAAAAATATGAATGAATGGTATGTGAGCTTACAGAAACTGATGGGTACATCACTTGTATTTCAGTTTGGAAGGTTTCACTGTATTTTGGTAATTCTTTTGTGCTTTTTTTCCTGGAGCTTGTCTTTCTTTAGCACATGTGTTTTTAAACACCAAAGTAAAGCAGATGCATTTCGGCGTGGGCTGAGAGAGTCAAACCGGATACAGAGGAAGTGTATCCCAAACTAGTTTTCTTGCTTGAAAAAGCACAGAAAATCTGTTTTCAGATTGTATGTTGGGTGTGTGAGGCGCAGGGTAGGAGATCAGCTTGTGTATGTATGTATTTATTTATTCATTTATTGGCATATTCACAGTTTGAGGCAATTGTCAATCACATTAAGTCTTCAAAGAAATACACAGCATCAATAATTCTGCAGCAACCTCAGTGATGAAGTTAAGCTTGTGCACAAGTGTTGGCAAAGTTCAGCTCCACAGGAATTAGGCAGGCACATCACAGTGAGTTTTGCTGGGATCTGAATGCTTCATGTCTTATGCTCCAAAAAAGTTTTGGTCTGGAACTGCATAAATGTACGTTTGGAGAAAGCACAGTGGGTAAAGCAGGCTTCTTCGCAAGAACAGTATGTTTTGGCTTAATAAGTGCTTGCTCTGCTCTTTTACAGATACTCATTTTGATTTATATCCTGCATGATTTTGTTTGTCTTTTCAGATGAAACTGAATAGTTCTTTTTTCTTTTCTTTTCTTTTCTTTTTAAATAAGTATTTTGAATTTAGCTATACAGGACAGCAGTCAAAAACACACAGTGATTCCAAAAAATACTAATTGGTTTATTTACTCAAAATCCAGGTTCTTTTATGCTCTCATGCAAAATTGCCACAACAGGTTTTGTTAAAACTTGAATCTAGGGTCATATTTTATGGCTAGACATTAAGAAAATTGGACAAGATAGGTGGGTCAAACAGTATAATTAAAAATATAGACCAGTAAATTGTATCCAATAATAGTTCACTTTTCTGCTGCTAATCAAATATGCTAGCACAAATTAATGGCTTGTTACTTAAGCATGCTTGAAAGACTTTGTTCTAGTACAAAAGGCATTCAGTTTGAGAGTGTGTGTTACAATCTTCTAACTGGCAAAGCTGGAGGTTGGACATAGCTATAAATCCAGTGTGTTCTGGGAATAGAAGCTGGCAAAAACACTCCCAGCAAAATAATCAGAGCAGGATCTTGCTGAGATTTGGACACTGGCTAACGTTAACTAAGTGCAGATGTTTGTGTGGACTGAAATACATTCTCAGAATAAGAGTCCTGTACAAACACATGGTGATTTTTATAGCAGAAAAAACCCAAGGAAGTGGGGATAATAAAACATATGCTCATATTTCTGATAAAGCATTTTGTTTTCCTCAGCTTGCCTGTACCGATGTGGTCAGGGTTACCTCTGTCACATCCTCAGCTGAGATCTGTTGAAGCTTCTGTGAGTCGCTTGGCTTGTGGCTCTGGTGCTTACCTGAAGGTCTCCATGCGTTCTCAGTGTGGGTACCATAGTCTCTCTTCCATCAGCAGAAAGGAGTAAGCATTTCTGAAAGTGTTAGCCTAAGGTAACAGCGAAACCAGGTCAGGTGAATCTTACCCTAAATGCCTGGTTTTCTCTACCAAATACAAAGGGAGTCTGGGGATACTGGTGAGCTTGAATGAATATATTTATACTGTACAAAGAGTTTGGCCAGATAAATTCTGAAGAAATGCAGCTATGAAGAAATCTCGCCTCTAATTTCTGGGAATCCTGAGTTAGCTCTTCAAAATCTTCTGAGGTATTGGGTAAGTCCTGGGCTGCTGACAGCCTGGCAATCCTGTGCATTGCTCTGCGTGCAACCATTTTTCCTCCTGTTTTTGTGCTGGCTTCTGATGCTTACTGTAACTTCCCTGTGATGAGTAGTCTGACTGATCCAAAACTAGGAAATTGGGGTTTCAGTGTTGTATGGTTCAGGAAGACACAGACTGCTATAGAATTTTATTTTGCTCATACTTGAGATGACTTCTGTTTGTAATTTGGATTTATTTATGGGCAGCTTTACTCTTTTGCCAAAAGTTTTGCTCTATACCCAGAAATACTAAATCATATTCCCACTGCATCACTCTGCTACCCTAAGTTTACTTCGTCCCCAAAACCTAAGCAATTGCCATTAGTTTTACAGCCATATCTGAATTATTTTAATCCCTACTCCATTGTCTGCATAGTGACATAATTTCTTTTGTCTTGGTTTCTTCTTATTTATATAGCTAAAAACCTCTTTATTTTCCTTAATTTTTAATTTAGCTGGTGTTTCTTGTTTTAATGCTGGGCTTCCTGGCTTTCTGGTTTCGGGGGTTTTTTTCCCCTCTTTTTTTTTTGTTTGTTTTTTTTTTTTCTGCTGTGGTTCTCTGCCTACTCTTGATGACTTTTTGGTTGGCTCCACCATCCTCACTTCCAGCTTCTTCCCCCTGCTTTTACTTTGAGAGTAAGTTCCAGCTCACTTTTTACCATTGATTTCAAGATTCTCCAGATTCGTCAATGTTAAAATCCTTGAGGTATTAGTTGCATTTGAGTTTTCTAATTACTTTAAATTTCCCTAAATTAGGGCCTTTTGGATGTTAACGCTTTACATTCAGGTCTGGTTTTGTTCTTCCATTCCAACCCAGATTATAATCACTTCTCTAATATTCTCACCACTTACCGAAACTGAAATATCACTTAGGTTCAGTA